ACAGAAGCCACGGCGTGAAAGGCCTTTCAAAAGTTTATGCAAATAGGGCCCTATTGTGTGAATGCAACATTGAGCAGGGAAAAAGGATTTCTTGTTTACTCGAGTGTATGGCCTTGCAGACAATACGGCTAACAAGTGACGAAGAGACGGGCGCATTTCAGATGATGTCTTGGCTGAGTAATTTCAATGGGTTGTACTTATTTATGCTGATACGGGAAGTTGGCACTTATCTTACGTTGCTCATCCACGTATCTGTACACAACATACCCATAGCAAACGTCATTGTATGCAGGAATATGACAAGGAAGCGGGGGTGTCAAACGAACACAAGCCACGATCACGCCACAAAGCAACACATAATTCAGACATTTTTACTTGTAATAAAGCATTGCGTTTCCTTTAATCAAGGCACTCGTGATAGATTTCATTTTGAAAAAATACACATACAAATAAATGGAAGTACCTGGAAAAAAGTGACAAGTTTTTTAGTCTGGAATACCATGTACCCAACATTATTTCGTCTTTCAGTAAAAATTGTAATAACACCAAATATAGTAAAACTATTCAGAAAACACTGTTCATATCCAACATTCTTTTTTTATATTCTACAAAACTTGGCATCGAAATGTTGGGAACATGTAACTATTGCAATAGTGTCCAAAAATTACTTTGCTTGCCAATATTAGCAAAACTTCTTGATTCTTGATAAAAAAAGAACATGAAATATCAAAGTTACACATAATAATATATTATTAATAATAAGTGTTTCTTGAAATATACGAGAAATACATGACACTCCAGTCTCTGTCCATTTCAATTCACAATCATAATTTAACAAAGTTTATAATATATATCTATGTCCCACATGGAACCCGATAAATAGGAGGCATTATAAATTTACCAAAAAATGCTTACTTCAAATAAATAAGGCCTGTTAACTTAAATACACCACCATAAACCATACACTTTGTGTTTATGGGGTAACCAATAATAATGTAGATAATATAAAAATCTTCATGCTCTGCATTAAAATAATAAAACCGTCGTTATAAACATAGTACAGTCAAAATAAAGTTTTTTTCCGAGTAAGAAAGCACTTCATTTGGCCAAAGCCGAGTTACTTAGTAACTCAGTGCAATGTAAAAACACTTGTTTTGGCCCCCTGAACACGTTGTTCTCGACCCCAGTACAAAATTAGCATATCAAGCAGAAACGCTCGAGAGCCCATTATCTCAACTCAACCAAATAACAATAAATAATCAGAAGAATTATTAATTTAACTCTCAAAAAGTCTTACAAAGTTTTTAGTTTGGTAGTAGAATATTTTAAGTCTTTTTGGAAATAAGGCGTGTTATTTTTTAACAAGGTTAGAACTTCCTTGAAAAGTGCGTTTACTCGTCGATCGAAAGACGACTAAAAATTGGCAGTCGGCGTTGATCTAGGCCTGGAGACCCGGAACCCACGGAACCCAGCGACTCCTGATCTGAAAGAGATTCGGGAGTTGGGGACAAACTACCATCGTCACTGTAGAAAACACTATTCAGGTTATCTGGCATCAAGTCTTGTAGATTGTCGTTGAGACTGAGAGGCAGTGGAGGGGAAGGCGTTGCTGTTGTGATGTAAGGGCTGTTCTGGCTGACGATGGTGGGCGACATAGGCATCATCAGTGGTGGTAAATCTTGTTGGCACGAGAAATTGTAGGTGTTATTCTTCATATTGTTGTTCAGAGAGTTGGCGGTAGTGTTGAAGTTAAGCTGGATGCCATCATCGGGAAAGAACGTTGGTGGTGGTGTCTGTGAATTTGGACTGAGATCGTAAGTAGGAGACGGGGCAAAGTCACTACTCGGAGTACCACTGAAACTCAGACTGTGGAATAAAGTTTTTGGTCGTTCGATGGTGCGTGTCATTGTAGCGTTTCGGTGATTATTTTGTTGCACATTCTGATGTGGTGTTCTTTTCTCTTCGGCGTTGTGAATAAAGTGACATCGTGGTCCATATGGACAGAATCCGATAGTGTGGAATGTACGGCAAAGTTCGGTCTTGTACTTTGGATGGCGACTCAACCCTCGCAACTCGTGGTCGCCATGGGCAAATTGGCACTTGTCGCCATACTTGCATGTTCCGTTTTCTTCAAACGGTCGACAAAGTTCTGTCTTGTAACGGCTGGAGTTGACTTGATTTCTTTTATTTCCATCGCTTTCACTAAAGGCACGATCCCGCTGTTTATTTTCCTTGTTGTCGAGGAAAGACGACTCGGTAAGACCCGAAAGCAGTGTTGTGGAAGACGTGTTATTGCTGAGTGGATTACATAGCGCCGCACTCGCAGAGTTCCGACGTTGCATAAAATTGCCGATCGGTGACCCAACTGCTTTCTTGTCAGTCCTTAGTTGTATTCTACTGTTTTGCTGTAAATAAAATAAATGAACAGTTTTAGAAACTTGATCACGAAATCGACATATAAAAGATATCAACTGGATCAACTAACGAACGACGTGATTCATAAGCAACAGTTGGCTGCCTCATGTCTCTAAATTTAAATTTCGATACACCCAACGGTTTATTCAGTCACAGAAAAGTGCCAAGATTTGAAAAATTCCCAAAGCAGAAGACGATCGGTTACATGCTTACCTTGTAAAGAACATCGCCAACATCGTAGAAAGCAGAAACCAGTGCGGTAGACATAGTGTTCGGAGTACTGGACTGTTTAGCATGAAGTGGCACGAGGAGAACAGACCGATCGACTAACTGTACCTCAAGTCCTTCGTTCCTTTTCTAGACAGTTGCGCGAACGATGTGTGATTGAGATAACACAGACAGTGATTAATGAGTGACAAGGGGGGCGGAGTTACGTTCTCAATGTGAATAGGACCTGTCAAAATGGTGGGCATTTCTATAGCAACTTAGCCTTTTGTTACACATTTCCAAAAAGTTGCCACCGAACAGTTTGGAACTATCAGCAACTTTGTAGCGGCTTCCGATGTCGCCGTTCGATGGCGGGAGCGACGGAATCCGCGGGAAATCACAGGGAAGGTTGAAAAATCGGGCGTTCAGTGTGAAGTTATGCGCCGCTACGTAAAGAGGCGTAGCAGTATGGCGGCGGTGTATAGGAATTCGCAGAATCAGAGACCGAAGCAAAGGAATAGCCTTTGAAAATTACATTGAAATCGGCACGTTGTGACTAAATTTATCTGGTGACGTCATGTGCAAACGGCCCATGTGGTCTGATTGATAAGTAATCACTTGGAAAAACAAGCATTGGCCATTGCCAAATAAGGCATTTAGGGGTACGTCCATAACGTCCAAACAAAGCTCCAACCAATCAGTTTCGTTTAAACATAATCTCCTGGTCCAATATTTTTTTGGGTCACTTGTTCTATTCTATGATTCTACGTTGTTTACAGTCACTTCTCAGGAGTTTTGACTCCGTTGTACATGGCGCTAGGTAAAAACGCAACTTTGCCATCGTGTCGAATGTTACACAAAGTATTACCAACAGTCACACATAGTGTTGTGGCAAAGATCGCGGAGGCCCTTCTATTACTAGTAAATCAACTACGATGAGTTCATGGACATCGAGGCATTTATAACTAGTCGCTACTAGCTGGCTCAGGCTAAACCTGACATACGCAAATCTTGTTTTGTTAACGTACGTGTTGGGTAATATACACAGCCGCATTTTAAACTGTAATAAGTGTCCCTTACGATGCGCCAAAATTCTTTAATCGGTGAAATTCATATTTTTTCGGGATATTTGTGAATGACACGTAGAGATGACGCACTGAGTGTGTAACCGCAAGACGCGTGGGTCAAGTCACGTTATCGTAAACAGGAAAACACAACAATAGAGTAGCGTAACACTCATGCCCATACATGGAATTTCGCGGGAAATTCCGGCATGGTACCCTTATTCAATGGTAGTCGTGTGAGGGCGCTTACTGCAACCGCGCTTTCATCGTTTTAATCCGTTCATGGAGGTAATCCGGTGTAAAATAACAACTAGCAGTAGTTTTTTGGAAATTTGTTGAAAATTGACAGGGGAGTTGTACAGATATTGTATAGTTACCCCAATGTTCCATGCATGGACATACTATGGAGCTAAACAAAACAATGCTCCATGGACGAACGGAACATTTGTTTGCTCCTTCTAATAGTGACGTCACAAATACATGGATGTAAATTGTTTATAATCTTGCGTTGAAATGACAACGCATTGACAATACTTATCAGATTGTAATTTGTAGTAATAAATCGAAACATTGTATTCAAATATCGGTATTTTTACGTCACCCCATCACTCGCCGTCCATCGTCACATAACCTAAGCAGTGACGTCATACGCCGAGGAAGTAGATTTCTTGTATGACTTGCAGCAACGCCATAAAAAGTATCATGTCTTTACTGCGTCGTGAAACCCTTTCAGGGAATTTCAACTCTTTCGCAAATCAGCCGTGACAATGGACGGATGCGATCGTGTAGTACCCACCGTTCCCGACCTTGACATTCAGATTGAACCAGACAGGGCGATGTCCCCACACGACATTCATACACACATGTATACGTCACAATTATATATTGCGATTACGCGATTTAGCACGAGTCAGATCTAAGTACTGAAATATGGACTGGTTGATTTATGATGTCCATTGGCGTTTGCACCGACACCAACCTGTAAACAAGTTTGTTTAGTTCAAAGTACAGATTGCATTTCCTTTCGTCACACCATAGAACTACAGTAGTTTGTAGTTCCATGGTTACACCCACTGAAATAGCTATCACGTGACAATTCAATCGATCGTTTTTATCGCAGCCAGCATAGTCATTACGAAATCCAGAGCCATGACGCTATCGGCATTCTGTATAGAATAACAAGCATTCACTGCACAGGTTTTCAAGACTATCACTTTTAATCCAGATGAAAACTCCCCGACTGTAAAACATACCTTTTTAGCTAGCATGTTATTGTAGCTAATCTGTAAATAATTCAAAATATCACTAATTTAAAAGAAAATTTATTCACACAATGAGACTTCAGCTAAATTACCATAGGCAATCAAGTCAAATTTGCTAAAATGGCGCGTACCAATTTCAAAATGTTTTACAGTATGTCATTGTAATAACAATCATTTGTACTTTCCGTTCACGGTCTCTGTGAAACATCACTCTTTGAATAATTAAAAATGAAAGCCGATTAATAATTTGGGTATAACAACATTTGAGCAGAGGATCAACCGAAATCACACAAAGAGGGACAGGTAAATATACATCTGCCAATCAGGTGAGGCGCTCAACAAAGCCATTCATAAACGTGTGAACGACTTTCATCACTTTATTAATCCTCTTACCAAACTGTCAACAATCGGAGTCATGTCATCACAGCATGGGTCTTGTAACAAAACATGCATTTAGAAATAATACTTACTAAGTTCTTTACAAGTGATAATCTAGGCACCACTAGTAAGTAATTAGGACAAGTCCCTGGGACAGGTAGAGTTATGATTTATTTGGATGAAGATTGCTGGTAAGTCTAAGTAGTAGATGGAGCTGTAGACAAAAGAACTAAAATGTTGTGACCTTTTTCTCTTTTTAGCTCCATGGTAGAACACTATCACTACTGAATGCTAGATCTTTGACAGGAGTGTCATTTCAAGGCTGTTAAGACATTACACACATTATAGCCATAGGGACAATAAACTGAATTATTTCAGTTGAACAATTAATCTTGTACAACCAGCTATAATCCTGTACATTGCAAAACTTGCATCCTCCATAGTAGGAACATTCCATGTTTTACCGACTGGAGTGATACAGTGTATTAATCATTTCCTATAAGTGGCTTCAAAGGCATTAATATCAGCATGAAAGTCACAGTTATGGGAGATACCAGCTAGCACATGGTAGATCCCCATGGAACTTATTCATTTTGAATAAGAAACTAGAAAAGAATATTGTCTTTGATTTCCCCTCACACAGCAGCAGTCTTTTAAAAGTAAACATTTAAAGTGCAATGCTTTACAGCAAGTTCAAGGCTGGCAGTGGTTTCAGCTTCAAATTTGATTGTGTGTGCTAACATAGTTCCCTACTACTATGGAGGAACTCTGGTTTGAATTTCCTTTAATAATTCTTTTGAGTGCAAGCAAGGATCGAGAGTGATTCAACTTTGTTCTGAATTAATGCAAGCTGTAATAATTCCAAATCTTCATTTTTCTCCCGGATAATGAGCACATATTAAACCTCTATAAATGCTCTCAGAAAGCAACTTTAAAATTGCATCTTTTTATTCATGGAAAAACTCTGAAATACATTACATAATTCAACAACTTGCCCTGGGCCTTTATTTTATTGGAAACATGTGATTTGACATATAATATCATTTTTTTAACAGTTACAGTATTCATAAGATATGGTTTGTGTTGATGTGATTAAAGTTTCAGTATTGGACAGGGCATCATCAAGACACTGAACCATAAATAAAACAAAAATCGAATTCCATCTGAAGAATTTCCCATTGTTAGAAGTGCATATAAAACAGAAAATACTTTTGTTGTATACTGAATTATCAAACTGTATTCATTCCATTAGTAGTGCATGCACTCATGTAAATTTCTATTTTCAAAAATAAATATTTTAATGATTCAGTACAAAACAAATGTGATTTTTGGTTTATATTTGTTTCACTGGAAGGACTTCTAATAGAACAAATACTGTACTTATTTAGACCATCACATGAAACATGTCTGTATTTCAAGTGCTACTAATAGAGCAAATATGATAGTCACATGAAAAGATACATTTATATTATAAGCAGTTAATTGACAGTGGACAATCACTATTATCAGTTACATGTCATAGAGCAGTCTAGAAGTGACCATTTGTTGAGGTGTGAATTACTCCATGCAGTCAACTATATAATGATCTGCATGCATGTACCAAGAAGTACTTAAGGGTAGTTTCAAAAACAAGAATGTGTCATCACCACAGTCTTTTTTGGGTGCAATATTGAATATTCTGTGCACCTTAATAACCATTGTCTAAAAGATGTACAACACTGTTTGAATAAAATTTAGTTTATGTCTAGAACCATCTATAGAAAGACCAATAATTAAAGCATGTGAGTCGTCACCTGTGCATATGGCAGACAAACATAGTGTTTCTTTGTTTAAAAACATGTGTTTACCGACAAGCCTTTGCTTTTCTAGCGTGCATTGTTATCATTGCTTAGGACTCATTTCTTGCATGTGCACAGGTGGCAACCCCCTTCCTTTTAAAACAATGATATTCATATTTAACAGTTTATCTACATTTATTCAGTTTTCTTGAGATGAGATGAGAAATAAAAATAGTTTATTTCCAGGTTGCTGTATAACTCACTCCACAAATACATATATATTTTTTCAATCCAGTAAACTCAAAATATAAGTTACTTATCAATGGTCCAATAAATAGATGGGTTAGGTTCACAAGTATAGCCTTACAACAGTTATCAGAGTCACAATGAGAAGTTATCACTCTTATTACAAACTGTAAACCATTTTCACTGCTATGAACTTTCACAATTTAATGAATTTACGGCATTCATGCACATGACAAAATTGTGTGAAATTTACTGTGACCTGTGTTGTAGGACAGCAGGTCTTTTCGCTGACACAAGAAATTCAGAAAAACACTAATGTAAATTATAGTATCAGTATTTAATCCAGAATGTGGTTAATCATTAGATATGTAAATCAATCAATTAATAATATGCATACCAATTGACTTTAAAAATATTGATAGTCTTTTCTTCAGTAGAAATTTATATTATGTGAGTTGTCTACATTTTTGTGAATTATAAATTGTTAAAACACATTCCAAAACAAATTGAAGGATTGCTACATTTATCCATCTAAACACACACACATGATGATTTCTTGGTCTTATGACTACAATCTAATTTGCATATTTACTTGGGTTGTTTTATTGACAGTTCAAGTATGGAATTGCTGTGTCCAAGTATGGTAAAACAAGGCCTGGATAGAACACAAATACCATTTTTAGTAATAGTAAATAGTTTTTGGTAAATAGTTTAGTAATCTAGATTTGTGTATTTGTGTTTTACTTTGCATACTATCTGAACACCAGATTTGATTTATTAGAAATGTACATGATTGAATGCCAATAAAAAGTTAAGATTAACAAACCATAATGTCAGTTTGGAATAATTTCTCTGTATTTGGAGATGCAAAGTTTACTAGTCCCCCCCCTCCACTGACATGAGATTTATTTATGTTGCTTTCAATAATTGTTGTCTTGTATACTCCCAGACTAATAGTGCCCCACTGACGTGTACATTAAGGGAGCGTATCACACCTAACTGTGGGATCTCAACACACATATCTAATAACTGTATCAGCTCTACTGGGATGCCTTCTCTCTCATTTCTGTAAAACAATATAGAAATAAGATCATTAGACCAGTTCTCTAAAAATATCTGCTGTCCCAGCATTCTCTGAATTACATTTACAGACAAATAATTGTTACAATTTATACTATTATATTACAGTCATGTGACTTATCACACAATCTACCCCGGTAACATTACATTACAGTCATGTGACTTATTACACAATCTACCCCAGTAACATTACATTACAGTCATGTGACTTATCACACAATCTACCCTGGTAACATTACATTACAGTCATGCAACTTATTACAAAATCTACCCTGGTAACATTACATTACAGTCATGTGACTTATTACACAATCTACCCGGGTAACATTACATTACAGTCATGCAACTTATTACAAAATCTACCCTGGTAACATTACATTACAGTCATGTGACTCATTACACAATCTACCCGGGTAACATTACATTACAGTCATGCAACTTATTACAAAATCTACCCTGGTAACATTACATTACAGTCATGTGACTTATTACATAATCTACCCTGGAAACATTACATTACAGTCATGCAACTTATTACAAAATCTACCCTGGTAAGATTACATTACAGTCATGTGACCTATTACACAATCTACCCGGGTAACATTACATTACAGTCATGCAACTTATTACAAAATCTACCCTGGTAAGATTACATTACAGTCATGTGACTTATTACATAATCTACCCTGGAAACATTACATTACAGTCATGCAACTTATTACAAAATCTACCCTGGTAACATTACATTACAGTCATGTGACCTATTACACAATCTACCCGGGTAACATTACATTACAGTCATGCAACTTATTACAAAATCTACCCTGGTAACATTACATTACAGTCATGTGACTTATTACAAAATCTACCCTGGTAACATTACATTACAGTCATGCAACTTATTACAAAATCTACCCTGGTAACATTACATTACAGTCATGTGACTTATTACACAATCTACCCCTGTACCATAACAGTCATGTGACTTATTATACAATCTACCCCTGTACCATAAGTCATGTGACTTATTATACAATCTACCCCTGTACCATAAGTCATGTGACTTATTATACAATCTACCCCTGTACCATAACAGTCATGTGACTTATTATACAATCTACCCCTGTACCATAACAGTCATGTGACTTATTATACAATCTACCCCTGTACCATAACAGTCATGTGACTTATTATACAATCCACCCCTGTACAATAACATTCATGTGACTTATTATACAATCTACCCCTGTACCATAACAGTCATGTGACTTATTATACAATCTACCCCTGTACCATAACAGTCATGTGACTTATTACACAATCTACCCCTGTACCATAACAGTCATGTGACTTATTATACAATCTACCCCTGTACCATAACAGTCATGTGACTTATTATACAATCTACCCCTGTACCATAACAGTCATGTGACTTATTATACAATCCACCCCTGTACAATAACATTCATGTGACTTATTATACAATCTACCCCTGTACCATAACAGTCATGTGACTTATTATACAATCCACCCCTGTACAATAACATTCATGTGACTTATTATACAATCTACCCCTGTACCATAACAGTCATGTGACTTATTATACAATCTACCCCTGTACCATAACAGTCATGTGACTTATTATACAATCTACCCCTGTACAATAACAGTCATGTGACTTATTATACAATCCACCCCTGTACCATAACAGTCATGTGACTTATTATACAATCTGCCCCTGTACCATAACAGTCATGTGACTTACTATACAATCCACCCCTGTACCATAACAGTCATGTGACTTATTATACAATCCACCCCTGTACCATAACAGTCATGTGACTTATTATACAATCTACTCCTGTACCATAACAGTCATGTGAATTACAATAATAAGTCAATGCACTGATTTATGATGTTTTTCTCTCAGATTCCGAATGGAGAAATTTAGGTCAGTCTTTACGATATATTATTTGATGTAAATAGCTACACCATGAGTACATATGGTAGTGCTTGCCGTTTAACTGTCTATGCTTGACAACACGTTGATGTCAGTGGGACACAGTAACAATTAAAAGTGTGGATATGTTTACAAGACAATTGGAAGGGGGGGGGGCTTAAGTACACTGAATTATTGCACAACTAGCAAGAAATAACTACTATCAGGTAATATGGCTGTTTTCTACACAGAATCAATGTATTTCTTGGGATCAGTTGATTTTTGCTAAAATATAATCTTTTATTTTTCTTATTTTATTCACAAGCTGTTCCTTTTGCATTCAACAAATAAAAAAACAGTACAAATTTTACACCTTGATCCACAGTATAAAATTGTAGGTTTGTTAGGAATACAATTAAGTAACTTATTATAAGAAAGTAGCCATTGAAAGCAGAGAGGGAAACCTACATGAATCAACCAAATACAGCAATACGGTTGTTTTGAGAAGCTGAAAATATCCGTTCAATCACCTAAGTATTTACAAAAAATAGTAAACTGAAAATTTTGTCATAAAATGAATAAATCTGACAGAAGTACAACAAAGGTATATAAAATAAGATACCAACTATGGTGTTGTAAAGTTAACACTAAGTTATTATGGACAATTAGTACCGGTAATACTAATATAAGAGACTTAACTAGCTAGCTTTACAAATAAATTATTATCCAAATTATTATCCATTATAGGTTAAAAACAGGAAACATCCCAACTCATTGCCTGCCCTCCGGTGTTAACACAACAAAAACATTATTCCACTGAGCAACCTTTGGGGAATTCGCCAGCAAATTGCAGAAAATGTCAAAAATGAGGCACACCAATCCAAAGCAAAATATATACAAGGCAGCACTTTGCTCAAAATCATATTGGATTTGTTTGTTTTTTTGTCACATATTTTCGCTAACCAGTGATCAGCAGCAAACAAGAGACATAACTATTTGCTTGTGGACATAATACACTTTTGGCATGGATAATTTCACTTACGCTCTGCAGTTTGCCGATTTCAAGATGTTCAATCAAAACAGTTCTTTCATGGGAAAATATTTTGTTCAAGTAATGTACTATGCTGAGTCTAAGATATGAAACTGAACAAAACAGTTGTGAAAACACATAAACAACTTGATAAAACTAGTTAATTATTTTGCAAATTACCTAATTAATATGTATATATTTAAAAAAAAAACTAATAAGGCCTGGAGCTCACCAAAAAGCTGTGTATGCAAATTTGCATTCCAAACTAGTCAACGGTTTTGACAAACACACATACCATATTTGTTCTATTAAAAGCACATCTCCAATAGAAGTGCACATAAACATTATATTTTATACCGGATCATTGAAATATGTCTTTTTTTAAATTACTTTTATCTTTAGCATACGTAAGTGCATAGTAGTGCGTGTGCTTTTTTTAAATGACAGACATGTGACATGGCAAAACTAAGTCATAATGTAAAAATCCGTAACACAATAAATGCAAGTTTTGGTCTTTGAGCATTTGTATTATAGATGTGCTTCTAACAGCGTAAAACGGTAGAGTGTACACTCGACAGACTGAAATTTCAACTCCAACACAAAAGATTAAGGAACTGAATACATAAGGCCCAGATGTGAAGCACACATATTTAACTTGTTCATGTAAAGACCAGAAACACATATTTTTTTCTTGCCCTAATAGGTAGTGTTGTGATTAGGTCAGTGAAAGTCCAGACAAATGTGATCACTGTATTGTCACATAATAGAAATGGGTCAATATAGACAAGACAAGATGTCCAGTCTAAATATGTCTATCATTATATTATTGACACTGAACTTTTCATTAATGTGCAAACAGGTGCTTTTTGTTATTGCTCTGCTGAGTTGCATGTGATATATTCACACTATACACTGGACAATACTTCTTTGGAGTTAAAAACAACACAAATCTTGGAAACATAAATCACCATCGACAGGACACTAATTGTTACATATGGCAGTAAGTAGACTGAATGTGTTATTGTATATATGACAAACCATCTTAATTAGTCGTGTATCAAATTAAACGAAAACAAAAACAAAGTGTCCAGGACTGTTTACTAATCCTAATGTAAACTTACAATAACACGAGTTACTTAGTATACAAAAAATTGGATCAATTTTAGCGGAAACAATGGTATAACCTTTAGGTTTTACATGGATGAGTTATTCCATTAACAGTAATATAGGGGTGGTATGGTTAGTTAAACATTGTCAATTATTGATGAGTACCTAACCCAGTTCAGAGAGGAAGAATTACCAAGGAGTGATAAAGGGGTAACTTGGAAGTAATCGTAACAAATGGTCAAAAGGTAACCCTTCCAAGTATAAAAAGAACATGCATCCCTTTTAGCAATTTAAACCATTTTTAACACCCTCATCACACCTTCAGGCATGTAGCACTATTTAGTTCACATTTTCTGTAATTTGTCTTGTTTTATTGTACAACTGTACATGCATGATTTAAGTAGCACTGGGCATCCAGCTTACATAATAAATATTATTACTGTAAAATGTACTTTAAAATAAATTTTACCAGTAGTCATTATCAGTAATCAGTACAAACCACATGTTAGCCATTTTTGTTTGAATTTCTGAAAAAAATATGACGTACATACAATATGTATGGTCATGATACTTATTGTGAACGAAATCGTCCTGTTTTCTCTAAGAAACAGTTACGAACATGTTTACAGATTTTATGATTTTAGACAAAATGGCTGTCAGTTTTGCCAATTTTTTGATCAAATCAAACAATACCATACAACCTAGGGTATAACCTAGTATTAGTATAGTAGTATAGTATAGTATTTTCAATTGAATCAGGCAATATATTAGAATCAGCATGGATAGAAACAAAATAGAAACAAAATGGCCTCTGGTTTGTTTGAATCACGAAAAACTATGATATACATGTACCGGGGTAAACCCAATATGCACGATCATGATACAAAGTTTTAATGAAATCGTCTTCAGAAATGCAGCCCTGGACAAGTTTAAGTATCACAATTTAGCAATTTAGAAGAACAAAATGGCCACCAGTCTGCCATATTTTATCAAATGGTAATTGGTCAAAGCAAGTATGAGAAATGGCTTCTGATGCACACATGAATGGATGAAAGAACAGAACCAAAATTATTTGTCCTCATTTACAGACTTCATCCGAAAGAGGGAAACATATAATTCTATATAAGTTTTCAAAATTTCTTATGTTTAATATTTTCATAAAAACAAAGATGATTTTCAGCCAAACATGGGATCAAAATGAGCAATGGTGAATTGGGGGAGGTCATTTGAGAAGTTTTAGTGGTGAATGAAAGACATAAGTTAGCTTAGGGTCACTATTCAGTGATGTAACTACCACTCTTGGCAATCATCCAAATGCACTGCTATCAAAAACATTTTCACAGCTGACATTTTTCATTGGGGGTGCGGCACCAAAACATGTAAAAAGCTTGGTCTTTGTGGTCAATATTTATGTTAATGGGAGCCATTTTTTCTAAATATAACAATGTAATAGACAATAAAAGTGGTTATTTCAACACAGGATATTATCTAGTGAGAACTATATGAGAAATATCAGTGATGATAAATCAAGGATAAAATAATACCAATGCCCATTCATTGTAAATATTTTGGATACAGGAAGGGTAAAGGTTTAGCGATATCAGAAGTTCACATGCTTGCGAAGACGGTGCATGAGAATCAGCTTTCATGCTAAGTATTTGAGTTAGATGCTATGAACTATTGAATACTTTGTTTTCAACAAAGCATAGTTACCTTGAAAGCGTCGTATGTCTAGCCATGATCATCAACAGTGATGAGACCTATGTGATAATTACCTTTTTATCAGGATCAGAACATGGGCTACAATCAGTGAAACAAAGTACAAACAAACTTCCTGTCTGTGACATTTTTATTCTGTAAACATGTTTACTCAATTAGAATCAACAATTAGCTAAATTGTAGTAATTTGCCAAAATTTATCATGGAATTCCTCCATATATTTGCATATGCTTAGCATAATTAATTAAACTATTAAACTTAACTATTTATGAACAAATTAGAAGACTTGAGTGGTTTTACTCTGCATTGAATTGCAATTCAATTGCAGTTTGTTTTTCTTTTTATGATAAAGTTCTTGAAATCAATCAGAAGTATGTCAGAGAAATGGTAATAAATAAAATCAGCCAATGCATGTGTAAACAAGTCATTGTACATTCAGTCAAAGTACATTCAAGATACGGATACATGAAAATAAAACAAGATGAGAACCATTTTGTATCAAATCACAAACCAATCTGGACTGCGCCAGTAACCAAGTTTGAACAATATTTCTCCAATGATGACTAAATATATCACTCAAGTTGCAAAGCCGAAATATGAAGATTCCATACAAAACATCCAAAAGTCTATTGAGCGAAAATTAATTCAAGCTAAATAAAGTATTTGACCGTAACACAGTAAATTATTATGTAGTGATGCAATGTAACTTTTCCATAGAGATAATGAGTAAAAGATACATAAAGAGTGTAAACAACTTCCAAATGATAATTTATCTGACAGACAGAAAGGAACCAGAAAGTAGAGTCAAAATGAATATTCCATTACTGTATTTGCTCCATTAGAAGAGTATATAAACTTGTAAAAATTGTTTTATATTAAATTATTATTTATTTTGATCACAGAAATACCATTTTAATTTATGTAATAGAGTAAATACAGTAGATACACATTGCAGTGTGCACTAATTGCAGTTTGTTAACCCAGACAGAACTCACCACATGTGTAGAATACTCACATCCAAAACAGAACATAAATCATTTCAGGTTTTGGGGGCAGTTAAAATATAATAAAAATAAATCATCATCTCAAGTTTTGTGGGTAGTTAAAGTGAATAATAAAAAAGTTAATGTTGCAATGTGTTTACTTCAATCATTGAAATATAAAGACTAGTCTGTCATGGCATGCAGTAACTGGGAGATCAACTGTTATAAGTAGTAGGAGAACATAGAAGTGGATTGGTATACAGTTTGTGACTGTGAGTAACTACAAGAACATGGGATTGATATACGGTGGTGTAATTATGAATGGTCACTATCCATACATCTTTATGAAGGAGATCAACGTCAGTAACAAAATAACCTGGTAGCAATTACCGGTAACCTTTTCTACCTTACTCTCCCATGTTATGAAATGATTTGTCCCAAAACTTTTGTACAAAGGTAGGTATTCACATGCCTTGGGTAAGGCAACACATCACTGTAACCTAATAGCATGACAATCACACATAAATCATGGCCAACATAATGACTTCTGCAGCCTCTCCATAAATACCATCAAAGCTGGCAGCTATTTTTGGCAACTCATAAATATTAAAGTTAACTGGGATTTTCAACTGAGTTGAGAGCCACTTGTCTGGTAGCTGGTACTGGACAGGCATAGACATGTACTGTTCTTATCACATTATGTCAGCATATGGAGATACCTACCCAAGTAGAAGTAGAGTCTTATCTGTAAACTGGTATTGTGTTAAGCAGTGACTGTTGGCAGTTTGCTCCACACCAATCAGTGTATATCCTTCTTTTCTCACTTCTAATAAATAGTCTTTCAAAGCACTGGCTTTCACCTGCGGATTTTACAGACAAAATGTGATTAAATAGCAGTTTGATGATACATAGCTAGAAAGGTCAATCGTAGGTCAATGGATAGGATTGGTAGTTATCAGTCAATCATATAAACATAGATAGTGTAAGGGATGGTATGTCATTGGTAATACAAACGCACACACTTCAATTTCCACCATCAGGTATCTGCTACCTCATAGTAGGAGTTGGCCATTAACTCGAAATTCAACTAGCATGACGTTGTGGTCATATGTACTACTGTAAAATGAATGATTCAGTGAAAATAAAATCCAATGAATATATCCTTTTTCCTATATTTTTTATTCAACTTGTCTGAAATCAGTGAAAATATATTCCAACCAAAACACCCAATAAGTCTTTTCAGTAGTATTTTTACAATACCTCTTGAAATAACATTCATTTTTGTATATTGTGGGACCATTGCAAATGACCATCATTAAATGAGTGGTCAACTCTACTAATTATATCCACTCATAACCAATCCAGAAATGAGCACATGTCAAAATATAATTTCTTATGTATGTATGTATGAAGTTTGATCGGTTCTTCACACATATGAGAGTTGAGATACTGCTGTATACAGATGGACACATGTACGGATGCACACACGAAAGTCAATCCAAGCCTACACTAATAAATAACACATCCTGAGTATAGTAGTTGTGTACAAAATTTGAAGTGAAATACATACAAATTATGTGTAGCCTTAACCCAGTAATGCATAATCTTCATACAAAGTTTTAATGAAATCGTCCTGTATATGTTCAAGACAACAATTCCAGAAACATTTATAGACTGCAATTTTAGGATTTTTTCAGAATGGCCATCAATTCAAACAACCTACAGTAATAACTATGAGTAGTGAAACAATGTGATGTTCACCCGTAACTCAATATGCATGATCCTCATACAAAGTTTGAATGAAATCGCTTTTTTCATCTCCGAGGAACAGTGACTAAAATGGCTGTCAGTCATACATATTTGACCAAATCACAAAGATAATCAGTGTGCATATGTAAAGTTAACATACATTGTCTTTATGTGAGGTTTGAATTGGTCAATGGACGGTCGGATGGACAGGCGAATACACACAAGGATGGACTTAACCAAAATTAATAGTTCCTGGTTTTGGACTTTGTCCAAATAGGGACTAAGAATGTAGTGCAACAAGGTTCTATTGTTATGTACCCAATTAGAAACCATCCAGACAATACTGAGACTCTGTTCCTGATTGGTGAAAATGTGTGATTTTCATACATTTTTTACTTTGAGACAGTTGCCATTTGTCCATCTTGAATTGGATCATGAAACAAATGCAAGTGCATTTGTCTGATATGATTTATTGCCATTCTATCAATATGGAGCAGTGCAGATATAAGTAACAACATTTTACTTGTATTTAACAAAATAGAAATATATTTTGTGTTCCCATAAAAGAAATTACTTAAATCACATGGAATGCTGAAAATAAACCTACCTCTCGTAGGGGTATCCATTTTTCTGCAGTGACACTTAGTCCTTGAAAGTCTTTATGCTCGGCATATTTCAAACTTGCCAGCACAAGTTGACCCACACCAAATATCTCACAGGTTCTGCAAATGCCTGTATGTAAGTAAATAACACTCAGTGTTTGCAATCATATTATTTAGACAAGTGTGAAAACAATGAATAGATGACATTCCAGTTTGTAATCACTTTTAATTACCAACAATGTGCAGCATGTTACACTGCCCTACAGAGAGAATAACACAGGACATGAAACCTTTGCACACATTCTACTCATTAAATTTGATTGAAACCTCCCAGCCAAAGTTGTTCCATCATATGAGACTTTTCTAATTTGGAAATGACAAAATTTTACCATTTTCCCTGCCTGTCAATGTCTGTAAAAATTACAATTACGCGACATAAATTAGTCATAGTGACTTTCGCTAATCTACAAACATTTCATTTTTGATCAATTTGAATTCTGTAAAGAATACCGTATACTGAACATCTGTTGGCATGGTTACAGTTATTTTGAGTCTGCTGCATCCCCATATTGGATGTCCCTAAGTCAGACATTGATTTGTCTGTTTGTATTTAATCACAGGAAGAACAGATTGAAAAGTAATTAATAAGGGCTGATATGCAAGATGTTGTTACACAATATCCGTCATTCTATTGAAATCTGATGACTTATTTTTTTTGTGTCTGTTATTTTTAGATCTTCCTGTCAATAAACAGCAATCAGGAACAAATAAAACTGAATATTATTGAACAATTAGATTCATAACTGATAATCAGTAAGAATTATTCGGCCATGGATTGGAATAGATAATATACATTCATTTCAAACTTACCTCCTAAGTTTGGTAATTTATCTATTAATGATGTAACCAAGATGAGTTGTCCTCGTTTCCTGTTTCTTAGGTTACTGGCGCTGCTGACATCTTCATCTAACAAGGTCTCTGACCATGGTGTTATCTTTTTCTGAACATCTCCACTCATCAAGTCATCATCAACAGTGTCACCAGTGGTAATGGTATAATCCACTAAAAGATGAACCAAACTATTTTGTGAGTTCTGCCTTGCAGCAGTATATATACCATGAGATGTAAACTTGTTTATTATTACAAGCCGTACCAAGACCTGGGTATCCATGCATCAAGTTATACTGATACTGCAAACCACTAAGACCTGGGTATCCATGCATCAAGTTATACTGATACTGCAAACCACTAAGACCTGGGTATCCATGCATCAAGTTATACTGATACTGCAAACCACTAAGACCTGGGTATCCATGCATCAAGTTATACTGATACTGCAAACCACTAAGACCTGGGTATCCATGCATCAAGTTATACTGATACTGCAAACCACTAAGACCTGGGTATCCATGCATCAAGTTATACTGATACTGCAAACCACTAAGACCTGGGTATCCATGCATCAAGTTATACTGATACTGCAAACCACTAAGACCTGGGTATCCATGCATCAAGTTATACTGATACTGCAAACCACTAGTCATTGCAAAAATTATGAATTAATGATGAGAATGATTTACAGTAAAAATCTATTTCCATAAAAATTCTCTAATTTAAAGGTGATCGATACAGTTTCCCAAATGTGCATGGGTTTGTAGTAGAGAAAGCAGGAACTATGTTAATACCTTCTATTGTCTTTTTATTGATTGAAAAAAAGGTTTTCTTTTTTCAAAACTAAGTTGATAATTTGCTGTATTATGAAATATTAGCTAATATCATTCATGGTTATTATTATCACAACGTTCTTAAGGTAGGTAATAAGGTTGTTGCCATGGCAACTGCAAATCTTATCATCTTGTTATAAATATTGTAGCAGCTTCCAAAAGACCAAATATCAAAACTGAATCTGGTATAATTCTCAAGAAAAAAAGAAAAAAAGACAAAAATATTCATTTAAAATAGAAAAATGGAAATGGATTTCAAGATATCAGAAATAACATTTTTACTAAAAATGGAAAAAATAATTGTCAAAAGAATTTAAAATATAGTCATAAAATAAACAAATCTGATAGAGGTCTATCAAAGATAACTACATATCAAGTTTCAAAGTAATTGGGATGGTACAAATATAACTTTCAAATAAAAATTCAAATAAAATTGATGCTACATGACGGATGTACAATCACATATAACAGCTCAGAAGCCTGTTCAGTCGGTTCTGAATCTGAGCCAAGATGATCACAGAGTACCGATCAAATAAATATAACAAGGACGAAAATCAGATGTTTTGTATATACTGTAGCACACATCCCAACAAGGATGAGAATGTGTAATTGAATTAACATGATATCGCATAATCACTGTCTGTACACCAGTTATATCATGTATGCCTAAATAAATGTTTGAAAAAAACAAAAATGTCTGTTTCTGTGTAGTTATTATGTGTATTTGTAAAACAATAAATTCTCGCGACCAACACTTTTGTACTTTGCTACTAAATTTTTCAGTTCAGCAAATTGAGTTGGTTGCCAATGTAACTTTGAGGACTACACCAGAAGATACCATATTCACTATATTAGATGCACACCTCCAGTAGGTACGATATTCACTCTATTAAAAGCACACCTCCAGTAGGTACCATATTTACTCTATTAAAAGCACACCTCCAGTAGGTACCATATTCACTCTATTATAAGCACACCTCCAGTAGGTACCATATTTACTCTATTAAAAGCACACCTCCAGTAGGTACCATATTCACTCTATTAAAAGCATACCTCCAGTATGTACCATATTTACTCTATTAAAAGCACACCTTCAGTAGGTACCATATTCACTCTATTAAAAGCATACCTCCAGTAGGTACCATATTCCCTCTATTAGAAGCACACCTCTAGTAGGTACCATATTCACTCTATTAAAAGCACACCCCCAGTAGGTACCATATTCACTCTATTAGAAGCACACCTCCAGTTGGTACCATATTTACTCTATTAAAAGCACACCTCTAGTAGGTACCATATTCACTCTATTAAAAGCACACCCCCAGTAGGTACCATATTCACTCTATTAGAAACACACCTCCAGTTGGTACCATATTTACTCTATTAAAAGCACACCTCCAGTAGGTACCATATTTACTCTATTAAAAGCATACCTCCAGTAGGTACCATATTTACTCTATTAAAAGCACACCTCCAGTAAGTACCATGTTTACTCTATTACAAGCACACCTCCAGTAGGTACCATATTTACTTTATTAAAAGCACACCTCCAGTAGGTACCATATTCACTCTATTAGAACCACACCTCCAGTAGGTACCATATTTACTCTATTAGAAGCACACCCCCAGTAGGAGTATATGTAAGCAAACACACTTGACCACATAATTCAAGTACATCTAAATAAAGGAAAGAAACTTACTTGGTCCCCGTATTTTCCATGTGCCGGGTTGGGATGTTTTGAGCTCGTTTCTAGCATTGAACAAAGGTAGCGATAACTGCCTACCTGATACCACAGATTGAAAGGACTCCGGTGATATCAATTCATTATCAATAACATTACAGAGATATGGTAAGCTATGGAATATAGTCTGTCAACAAATCAAAAATAATTGGTTAATCCCATTAACATTGAAATAAATATTGTGAAAAGGTTACATCAGCTAAGTTACACCTGGTAATTAAAAAGATAAAGACCTCATATTATTTTGTTTACAGCACTTCTTACAAAAGCTGTAACTATGGACGCCACTGGATAATGCACACAATGGTGCTGACTCATAGATAAGCAATGTTTTGGTTAACCATATATTTCTGTCTGTCATGTACTTCTTCAAATAAAACTTGTTGGAATCTCTAATCTCTTATTAGTTTTACATTGGAACCAATCAGCACATTTTGAGTTTAACCACGTATGCAGCTTAATATAACAGCCATAACTGCCTTAAATTTGACACACATTGCGAGTACCTACTTTGAAATAAGATGCACGTAAATACAGCTGACTGTGGCACTAAAATTCATGTGGGACGCCAATATACTTT